TTGTTTCGAAAGTAAGCCACTACCCTGTTCTCCATATTGGCCGATTAATCTAACCTAGCCTCAACCAACCTAACTTAACCTAACCTTGCTTAGCATCGTGTCGACACTGCCATCTCGTTTGTGGGCAAAAGTACAAAATCACCTCACATGCGCAGGACACGGCCGTATGAATAACTGTTACCAATTGGGATATGACTGTCATACCAATAGTCAGTTCGTTGTCTCTGCCTCGAATAAAAAAATTCAAATATAATGGCAATCATAATTCTCTTCTGCGTAGATCAAAGGGTGAAATAAATACACATAAAGCTATGAAAAAGGATACGAGTGATCAGAAAGTTTGCGATAATTTAAAAACTACAGAAAATTGCAGTCCTATGTGAATCAAGTTGGAGTGACTCTTAATAAAACAGCTAGAGTGAAAGTGTATGGTGATCAGGTCCTTGTTGTGAAGCCCCATTGCTGTTTAATACAGGCCTCAGTGGGTGAGTTTCGAACCTGTGCCATAAGCTGCTTTTGGAGGTAGCAAGTCTCCTCCAAATAAACAGAGTAATATCTTTAATTTTAAATTAGGTTTACAAGATGCAAAACATTTAATGACATTAGATTACAGAGGTTTGTGTACCGTTAACTAGACTGTATTCCCAGTAATTTGGTTGATGCATTTTCGGACTCAACTTATGATTACAAGAATAGTAGCCACCTTAGTACAGATATACTTGTGAATGTGGATGCCTATTATGAATTTATGGATCCTGAAATAAAGCCATATCAGGGAAATGAATTAGTAGCTCAAAAATCTCTATTTGTTTGGGTGTTATCTTGCTCATGGATGGTTTCATCTAACAGGAAATTCGAGTCTACCCAAAGGCTGGGCATAGGAAATGTTACAGATTCTGATTTGCGTGAATTTTGGAATTTAAAAATCTGTTGGAATAAGTCGAAAGGAAACTGTTTCTAGCCCGTTTACCTCAGACCCTGATTTTGAAGTAATTTTGTGAAAATGTTGTTTTATGTGGGACTTTATGAGATAGGCCTGCCATGGAAGTCAGATGACTGTAAGAAGAATCTTAAAAGTAATGAGGGGGCTTGGTAGAAAAAAGGTTAGTAGAATTGGAAGGTAAGTTAGATAAGGCTCCAGAGTTTAAGAAATAGTATTCTGATGCATTTGCTGATTGTGAACAAGGGGGAATAATTGAGGAAGTCCTTTCAAATTGTCAGTTGTCAAACGCAGTTCTTCAACTAAGGTTAAACCAGTTTGTTATGCTTCTGCAGCTATTCACAATGGCATTTATTTAAATGATTGTCTTGAGTCTGGTCTTTCACTTAATCGTGGTCTTGTAAAAGTATTCTTTTCATGAAGTGGAAGGTTGCATTGACTGCTGATATTACAAAGGCATTTTACAGATTCGTGTTCGGTAAGCAGAGAGATGTTCATCGCCTTTTGTGGAAATGCAAAGATTCCATTAGAATTATGAAGTTGTTTCCTTTGGTAACACAAGGTGCAAATTTGCCAAATGCAACCATCAAATATCACTTCGTCTTTCCCTAATACTGTAGTCATAGAAGTAAAGGAAAACCTTGATGTAGATCAGGGGTGGCCAACCAATCGATCGCGATCGACTTGTCGATCACAATCCTGTTTTAAGTCGATCACACTACTGTACCTGTTAATAATTCGTCCTTCAGAAGTCATGCAAATAGCTGCATGTTGAAGTACTCATGATACTTGGATTATTATATTTCTCTTTTTTTTTTGGGGGGGATTTATATTTATATCTATAATGCTGGACATGTCTGAACAACATACAATTATTCGTTACAGTGTTAGTTACAGTGAAAAGAACATTGCTTGTGTATCTGCAAACTCTCATAAGATATTTTAATTTGAGATGGCATCTTTAATAAAACACATCATGTGATGGCTTGGGTTATGAGATTTATACATAATGCCCGGCCTCATTCTGTGTAAATGTTACGTCCCTTGTCTACTGGTGAGTTATCGAAGGTCAAGACCATATTGGTTTACTTTGTACAGAGAGGCAATTGTTTAATCTCATTCAAAGGATTTCCCTTTGTGTAGACTAGATCCTATTGTAGATGAAGGCCTGTTGAGAATCAAAGGACGTTTGGAGAATGTAGACAAGTTTTGAAAACAACCTTTTACTCATATAGTTCCTTCAGGATATGTTGCTAAGCTCTTGGTTCGATTTCAGCTTACTTTTCTGAAGCATGCTAGAGTGCCCACAATTGTTTATAAGTCAAGAGGCAGCTGCTGGATAGTGGAGTCAGACGAACTGCTGAAACTTTGTAGATAGTGTTTTAAGTATAAGAGGCATGATTCTAGGGCTTGCAGTCAGCCTGCTGCACCTCTACCCGGATTTTAAGTGTTTAAGATTGTTCCTCTCTTTACAGTGACAGGTCTTTGATTATGCTGGTCTTCGCTTTTGTACCGATCTGCCTTCCAAGAAATTGTACATTTTGTTGTTTACATGTGCAATAGTAAGAGCAGTGCCCCTACAACTTACTAATTCATTCTCTCTCTCAGATTGCATACTAGTTTTACTTAGATCTGCAGCATAAAGGGGTCTTCATTCATTTTTTACACATAAAATGCTAAACATTTGTGGGTGCGGCTTGTCAACTTCAACAAGAATATGTCCCTCTATCTCCTCAGTGGTAATTCATTATTTCCTGTTCTCATTGGTGGGAAGGCTGGAGGGAGCGTTTTATTAGGTCTGTTAAGCCTGCTTCGAGAAAAACAATAGGGGTTAAATGTTTATCAAGAAGTAAGCTATTGATTTTGGTAATGATGAGAGCAGTAATAATGATAATAATAACAAAAAGGATGATAATTATCACATTAGTAATGATCATAATAATAATTCTAATGATCATAGCAATGGTGATAATAATGATAATGAGGATGATGATAATAGTGATAATAATAATAATAACAATGATAACGATAATAGCAACATTAATGATAATGATATCAGTTATAATGATAATAAGAATGATGGTGACAGAGACGATGATAACTAATAATAACGGTAATAATGATAGTAATAATAGCAAAAATGATAATAACATAAAAGATAATAATGATAATATCAACAACAACAATAATAATAATACTGATAATGATAAAAGAAGATTAAAAAAAAAAAATACCTCACGCAATTTTTCCTGTGACCTGCTGCATACGAAAATTTTCCTTGCATTCGAACCAAAAACAGGTATACACACAAACAAAGAATACTTCTGTAACATTTTTTTCTGGTCAAATTAAATAATATAATTAACAGGTGACGAGATAAATTCAAAGGTGTGAATAAGATTACAAGTCTCGTGGACGTGCAATTTACTTAATTAAGCTGAATATTATCACTTGACTAATTGAGTGAAGGAAAAATTAAATTATTTTACAAGGGACTGCGAGAAAGAGTGGATTTTTGCGTTGTTGTTATCATTATCATTATAATCCTTATTATCATTAGTAGCACTAGTAATAGCAAGTTTAGTAGTGATGTTATTATTAGTAGTAGAGAAGTAGTTGCAGTGTTGCTGCCACTGCCAAGGAGGTTATGTTTTTTGGTAGTGTTGGTTAGTTTGTTAGTTGGTTGCATGGATAACAAAAAAATAAAAAATAAAAAAATATGAAAGTTTTACCAGTAATGTGTCTTAACCTAGTTTATGTCATTAAATGTTGGTAGTGATTCGGATCCAGGGTTTTTTCTTTCTTTCTTTCTTTCTTTCTTTCTTTTTCATCAGGTACCCCTATTGCTAAGTGTTAACTATAACTATTATCATTATTATTATTATTACCTCCCCCAAGGAGTTCGTGTCTACGGATATCACCAGTGTGCTTGAGAAAGAGGTGATTTTAATGTAATTCTTCAAGTCTACGCATTTTATTGCATCAGTGACCCTATCGCTTTGCCGGAGGTATGCGCTCTCTGACTACTGCTTGTTATTGTTGTTACCATTATCCTTTTTACTAGGACGTCTTATAATTATCATTACTATCTTCTTTATTATTAGTTTTTTTCGTATTATCATTATGATCATTGATATGATTATGATTTTATTATTTTTATTTATTATTTTCATCCTCGCCACTTTCACTGCCATCAATATCTTCCTTATCATTATTGTACTCTTATTATCGTTACTATTATTTAATATCCATTATCGTTATCATTATCTTATCATCGTATTTTTGTTGTTTTTATGTTTTGATTTCCATTTATCTATACACAATGAGAAAGAAAAAATGTTTATTTAGCACTCGCTTAGGGAGCCACTGTAAATCTTAAATCGCTGATAATAAGAGTAAATCTACTTTACAAACATTGCACGAGATTATCAGTATTGAGTTTTATTTGGAGTTCCAAGTAAATACAATATTTAAGTAAGAAATGTATAATGTATAGAATCATCTAATTCACTGAATAATATCGATATTATAACAAGGTCAGAAATTTTATATATCAGGAGACAACGTTGCATTTACATTTTAGTATATCAATGTTAAACGGGTAATGTCAAGAAGATACCAACAATTATATAAATTAACAATACTGAATCATAAAAAAACAGATAACTGAAGAGACTGATAGATAACTAAATAGATTGATAGATTACTAAATGAATGGATTGATTGATGACTGAAGAAATAGACTGATAGATAGTAGATTGATACTTGACTGAATAAATGAATTGATAAGTAAATGAATAAGAAATCTAACTGGAGTTTCTCAGAATGCATAAATACATACATCTTAAAGCGCCCCAACTCCCACCCAACACTACTTCTCGCACTCACACACACACACGGGTTAAAACTTCTTATAACAAGGATAAGCTAGAGAAAGAAAATCCCTCTAACACAGACACTATTAATCCAAGTCACACTACGGCTGGCAGAGTGACAATCACCCTAGTCTGTCTCCGGCGATGCGTCTAAACTCGTTCCAAACACGATTTCCGAGACCGTG